TTTTGTCCGTATGATGCGTAAGAGTGGTCTACTTCCATCATAGGGTTACATAAAACTGCAGGATATGCAGGGTGGACTGAAAGTTATTGCAAAATCAACATATTACAAAAAATAAGGTTAGCATTTGGCCTAATTGTGTATAATGCAGTGTATTTTCAGCTGCCTAACAGCATGCAGGCACTCTTACCAGATGGGCACTGGATGAATTATTGAATGAAATATGAATTATTAAATAAAAATTTGAATTTTTTTAAACTCTTGGCAGGGGGTGAGGAAGAAAAGCTTATTTGTTTGCCTGAAATTGCCTTCATATGTCAAAACATGTAAACATAGCATATACCACCACAAATAGCATTTACAAATTACCAGAGCCATTTCTTCCCTTACAATTCTCCAATTCAATTCAAGGTGCTTCCCTAATATAAAGAATTAGTAATCAGCACCAACTCATTCTTCCTTGCTTTTCTTTTGTGCTCATGCCAGGTAATAGGGAAACTTGCCAAAGGACAGAATTAAAGATCCAGAGTCCCATAGTACCAGTATGGCCCGCTTAATGGGAGGGCTGGGATAACAGGAATAATCCCTATAGATTTGTGTTATATAGGCAATAAAACATATACCTTTGCAGCAGGCCAGCATTTAACCAATCATAGGAGCTATTTGTTGCCTCATATATTACAGAGCAATAGAGATTTAAGGGATAATGTTCACGGAGGCAGAGGGTACGAAGCAATAAACAGCTTTGGAGGTTGGTTAAATGCCAAGTGAAGCCAGGACTACAGCACCATAAACATTATTCCTATTATATGACAAGATAAGGAGGTACAAGAAGCTGCCCTCAATCCCATCACAACTAGGGCTCCATCACTATTTTTGGCCTTACAAAGGAAAAGCAGGCCTGGGAGGTCTATGAGTTAGTTATATGTTTCATGTCTCAGTTAAAAAGATATGAAGATTATCTCTGCAAGAAGGCTGTCCAGTAAAAAAAAAAAAAAAAAAAAGATATGAAGAGAATTTCAACCTGTACCTAAATGTCCTCTGGGAGAAGAAGATCTGATACTAGATACCTTCAGGGAAAAAAACAAGCAAGAGTCCCTCAGGGTCACTCTGAACAGAGAAATAATCAAAGGATTTTTCCTTAAAAGGACAAAGTTGATACAGAGTGGTTGTGACAGACACCTTTCTCAATGGCTAATAATGGGATGATACTAACTGTCCATGAGTAGTATGTCCTCAGAGGAAATGTGTTCCTATTCCTAAGGAAATAGGTATTCTAAGTAATAAGCTGATATGATCAGCTCCTTCTCAAAGACTTAATTATGGTAACCAGAAGGACTACTTAAACCTGCACAACTTACACTGCAAACCAGTGTCATGTGCCTGAGAAAAAGGTGTGTAAGAATATGAAATTTGTTGACTCCTGGTAATAAAAACCAGGAAAAAAGCATCCAAAAGTTAAGTTATCTAACTGCACCCACATGAAACAACATCTCAAATCCAAGATTATTGACATAGTATTTATTCCTGCTTCCACATACAATGGAATAACTTTATAATCCACCTTCAAGTAAATGTCCCCCAAATATTAAAAACTTACAAGACTTCCTAGATTCAACACCAAACTATATTTTTATAATTTTAACAATAATGCAGAGGCAAAGCCATTTTATAGTCACAATATTTTTAAATAGATGCTATCTTGTAAACATTTCAAAAACCCATACAACTCAAATTCAACAGTTCTCTGCCAATAGGGTATCTGGGGCACTGTTGCCTTAAAAACACTAACCCCATTCTCAGGAGGCAACTCTATTAACTACTCCTGCTACCACATTCCATAGAGAGGTATTAGCAGGAATATTGCTTTCCCTGAGTTCCTCTTCATGAGGTTGATGAGGACCTCCAGAGAAACAAAGAGTCTCCACAGGCATAAGGGAATAAGAGGGCTAAAAAACCCTATCACCTGTCTTTTCAGATAAGAATGCAGACAGCACAACCTTTAGCAGCCTTTTTTGTTGTTGTTTAAAAAAAGTACATGCAGCATATTTAGAACTCAGCTGTGTCACATCAGACTAACTGTTGGGAAGTGGATCATGAACAGAATCCAAAAATAACAGCCATTAAAGACCTAGCAACCAAAACATGTTTATGTATCCACTGAAAGCCTGGTGGTTTTGATTATATGGTGGAGAGCGTAATCCACTAGTCTATTTTAGGTGAATTTTCCTTTCACCTTCCCTTACTATTAGGGCATAGAATGATTTCTGAGTTTAGGGGTGCATAGGGTAAAGTCTGGGCAGGGAACAGATATTGAAATAATGCAAGATTTCTATAGTTTTTATTTCTTTGTTTGCTTTTTAAGAATCAGCCTCCTGAATTATAATTGCTTTCATTCCTTCTTCCTCTACCTGGTAGAAGCTACTGCTTTTTGAGACTTCTATGGTAGTAGGTTCTAAACTGTGTCTTGCAAAAATTATCATGTCCTTATTACCCCTCTTGGGATTTACATAGTGTTTTTAGCATTCTACCATTTCTGGAATAAAGAATCTGAACCAATGTCAAGTGGATTATAAATATTAATAGCTTAAAGGCCTCAAGGTGGCTCCAGAATGAAACCATTCTCAAGGGATATAAGGAAGTTAGATGACAGGCCAAGGGTAGTTCACTTTACCAAATTTATCTTCTCTGCCAGATTTTCACTATTTCATATAACATAAAGCAATCACAGTAAATCTTATAGAGATCCCCTTCGAGCTGTTAGCAGATATTGGGAGAAACCTGGAAGGAGACTAAATATAATTTAAGAAGTATAATCTCACCTGATCATAAAGTTTTGACATGCAAAGGAGGTAAAGGAATGAACCATGCTACTTTCAAAGTCTTAAGTTGTAGCTTTCTATCCTTTTTCTATGAAACAAGTAACTTGAATCCAAAAGAAGAAGGTAGCAATGTTCCACATGCAACTTCCCACTGAGGGAAAAATTTTTTAGAACCTAAGCCAGAGGTTATAATGAACCCCAATAGCCAAAATAACAACAAACAATTCAAAAATGGGAGGAAGAAGTAGGGAAGAAAATGGCTTATGGTAAACAGAACCAAACCATAGAGGAAGGAACCAAAGTAAAAAGTCACTGCTGCTTCCTACCTCCAGTCCCCATCCCCACCCCCCAAAAAAAGCAAAACAAAAAGAAACAAACATAAATTTCACAAATCTGTGAAATCTCACAATTTTAGTGAATATTACTCTTTTCTGATGAGACAGCTTAATGAGACGCTACTTATATTTTTCTTCCTTAGAGAGCTTAAGAGATTCTTTTCTTGTGTGTTTCTTATTTCTATCATCCATTTTTATTTCTTTGAGAAGTCCTTGTCTGGGTGGTTTTAAGCATACAACATGTAAGAGGGTACAGGAGTTAAGCAGCTTAAACAATAAGTGAAGAAAAATAATGGTAAGTATGAGAAAAATAAACCTTTTCTCCCAAAATGCATATTTTTCAAATAAAGGAGAGAAGTAAAAAGGGTATCAGGTATCAGCTGTGGGAGTCATAGTATACAGTATAATCAAATTCACACACAAAATCTAGAGGGATCATTTTTAGATATGGACTTTAATAAAGCTGTCTGAAAAGCAAAACAAATTTACCCTATTTTCCCAACTTGCTTCTACTGTAAAAGAAATAAAATATAAACCACATGGGGAAATATGAAGTCAATAATAAAGTTGGAAACTTTGACAAGAAAGGAAATATACCCCAGGATGCTAAATATTGCAGAATACAATTGCTTTGTTGGTATTTTCTGAAATCTTCAGCATTTACTGGAATTTAGAATCTTCCTTCTACCCATTCTTTGTCACCACCTCCATCTAATCTACCTCTCAAATTCTTAGGAATCTCTGAAATTTAGCTCTTTTTGTCTAAGTATTTACAATGTTTAATAGAACTAGTCTGCAATCTCACATATCACCAGTAAGTGTCACTGGACAATCACATGACATATTCCTAATTGAAGAGAAACTCAACCCTTCAGGTTCCATAAAATGAATTACTGGGCCAGGTGAGGCGACCCATGCCTGTAATCCACGCAGTTTGGGAGGCTAAGGCAAGAGGACTACTTAAGGCCAGGAGTTCAAAACCAGCCTAGGCAAATAGTAAGAGGCCGTCTTCACAAAAATAAAATTAAAAAAATAAAATATAAAATGAATTAATTAAGGCAGATAAAACCACCTTTGTATTCCTTTCACCCTTTTTGAAACATGGCAATAGGGAAGGGTCTAGGAAGAAGAGTTAAGAAGGTGAAAAATGAAAAACATAAGGCAATTTCAACAAAATTACTTTATTAAAAAAGCATATGATGAAAAATATATGATACATAGCATACACATATAAATACAATTACGTAGCAGTTGGCGCACAGAACAATTCATTTCATGGCATCAGACTGGGAAAATGTTTATATAATGCTGTGAGATCTTGGGTTGTATATTGGGTTTGTCTTTCTTAACATAGATAGCTGCCTTAGCTGCTAACAGTGATCTTCTGGATCAAAAGTCAAAAGACTGTTTTTTTTTTTTTCTATTTAAAAAATCCAAATAGATTCTGGCAAATTGGGGTTCACAATGAATGGGTACATTCTCAGCTGCCTCTCCAAATATGTTAAACAGATTTTTATATCCACGCGGTTGAAGAGAAGACACATCTAAACTTGCTTTGTATTTAGATGGATAGCTTCAGAAAGGAGAGAGCAACACGTATTCTTCAACACTGTGTGTTGGGAAACAAACACCAGTAGAATAACAATATGGAAGAGAGCAAGGCAGATTTCATTACGGTAGAGTGCCTACACTTCCTCATAACTTGGATTTACACACTGCAAATCCTCTGATCTGATTACCTCCAGTGATCACGTAAAATACCAGCTTTAAACTCTTTGCCTTAGTGATAAAACAGCCACTTTGATTCACAACAAGACATTCACAATAAAGTATATTGTAAACGTACCTGTCCACAGCCCGGGGCATTGCACACAAACGGTCTGTCGTCTCCCATATTTCATATAGCAGAGCAGAGCTGAGGAGGGGGATGTAGGGGGAAAAAGTTATGTTAAATACGCTGGAACAAAAAAAAAGTGCTTCAAAAATACCAAGCCTAGAAACAGGTGTTCCAAGAATGCCATCTATCAAAGCTGTAAACACAGGCTACTTTGGGGAGACCAGTTAGACAGGTGGCATATCATCTACTGAGCCCTTAACTGAAACTTTCAATTAGAAAAATTTAGACTTAAATCGTCAAAGAATTTCAAACCTTTTCTAAATTTTCTTTCTTTCTGCTACAGTATATAATACACTACTCCAATCTGCTGAATTACAACCAGTGCAGTTCCCTATATCAATAAATTCACTGAACGCTCGATGCGGAAGCCATATTTCTGAACTAGAGAAGACCAAAATTTGTCATTTAATTAATTAAGGGATTATAGGAGGGGTGCTCCATTTTACAGGGCCATAATCTGGCTCCCTGGTGTATAAACTACGAGACTGTTGGCAAGGGCCGTTTATCCCAGATTATTGCCAAAGAAAACAAAGCACCCATCCTATTGGGCTACACGGGAAATGATTTTCATTAATAAAAAAATAAAAATAAAAACCTTCTCTCCCCACTGGGAGCCTCCATCTCCCCCCACCAATCGTCTGTGGCAAATGGAGAAATATCGGCGCCCTTCCCCCCCGATTCTATTTATGGCTAGGTTTTTAAAAGCAGCAATAAAACAAATGTCGACTCTTTGGGGGTTTACTGGGTGAATATGTTCCGGCTGTTTGTGCTGCTCTCGGCCAGAGTTCTTGGGCTGCTCTGTTGTAGCCAACAGATGTGTGCTGCTGCAGGGGATAAAAGAAGTGGCACTAAAAGGCATCACCGTCCATCCCTTCTATTTCTCTGAACACTTTGACAGGGTTTATATTGTTTTTTTTAAATTATTGAAGCTAAATTCTCAAAATGATGATTGAAATTCTTTGTCAAAGAACAGTAATTCCAATCTGCAAGTGTGGGGGAAATTTCTCATATTCCAACTAGGAATTAAAATAGAGATAGAGATGGATAAGGATTAGAAATGCAAATCACAGTAAAAATATTCCTAAAAGATAAACAATATTTTGGAAGGGCAGAATAAAGAAACGGGGAGGAGTAAAAACAGTCTTATAGAATAAACACTTAAAGGACATTTCAAACATCCTTCTAAAAGGTATACAAAAGAATATAAACACAGAAAGATGACAAAGGAACTATGATTTGAATATGCCTGGAAATGACTCCAGAACTGTAACCAAATTTCAAATTTTTATCTTGGAGATAAACCAAAATGTCAGGACAATCTCAGTCAGGCCTGCATTAAAATAAAATGTTAACATGCTAGACTGAATCTGGTAATCGGAAAACCGTGCTTAAAACTCAGATGGTAGCTAGGTAACACCTTTCCTATTCTCTTAGGACTCACTCTGGGGTTAGAAACCAGTGTTTCTGGTTGTCTAATCAATAATTCCACAACCAATCGGTGTTTAAAATTGTGGGGTGCCCTATAAAATAGAAGGGGCTTCTTGGTCATCTTTCAGTGTGATAGGAACACAGTCTAACTATGAAGGAAACTGATGCTGCAGCACTGCTGTAATGGAAGAGAGCCTGTATGTACATACATGTACACAGATTTATATCACATTTAGCCAGGATAAATTGCTTCAATAAATTCTGTTCCTAGGAGAGGGCAGCTCAAGCTGATGATTGGGTACTGGGAAATGAGAGCTTCATTCTTCTTCACACAGCCTCAGGATGAGGGGGTTTTCTGGTTTGTTTGTTTTAAATGCATAATGATTTTTTAGCACTTTCTGAAACTACAACATAGTGCAAAAATATATACAAGTAAACAAAAGTAAATAAATGCAAAGACCAAGGCCATTATGGCTGAAAACTCAGAGCAAGTCTGGAAAGCAATTCATCTTTGGAAAAATTCCTAACTGCTGTGCTAGAGGTAATTTCGCTTCCTAGTCCCAGAATCTGCTCTCCTAATATAATCACAAAATGAGAATTTTATTTCGACAAGGTCCCCTAACATATTTTTAACCAGGAAGTAAACTACAAGGGCTAGAGTAAACATAACACAAAGACCAGGCAGGATTCCTTACTTTGATCTTGGTTCTGTTATTTAGGGCTAAATTTTCACATTTTTCTACCTATTTAGAGGAGGGAAAGGGTGCTAGCTGAGAAGTAGGGCAGCACTGACATAGGAAACGATTAAATAAATTCTGGAATGGTTTCCCTCAAACCACAAAATTCAAAATTTAACTTGGCTTTGCACAATCACATCACAATATATAGCTTCCAAATTTTATTTAATGGCATTCTTATTAGGAAATAGAGATGAAAAATCACGACTTTCTAAAAGAAAAAAAAAAAACTTGGGGGAAAAAAAAACATTAAAATCTAACAGAAGTATTTTCACTGCTCTTAAATACTCAATTGACAGCCACTAACTAGAATTTCCTGCTTCCTTCCCAATTTGCTGGCCTTTGTTTTAACATTTTCACCAAAGGGAAATCACAATGGGAGGAAGAAGGCTCTCTTTCTTACATACCCACAATTATTCTTAAATCATTCCCTCAATTTCTTGCCCCTTGTCATTTCCATCACTCTTGCTTTAAAATTTTTTCATTTTAAAGTGATTTATTTTTTTAAAAATTTAAATATTTAACAACGGTAAGAATGATGTCTCCCTATTTTAAAAAAATACAGCTAACATCTTTTTTTGAAAAATTTCTCCTTCATTCCCAGTCTGCTTCATCAATTGTTACACATAAAGAATGCCATTGCTTATTTCTATCTGACATTTTGAACAAATCTCTAATTATCAGCGAGGTCAGCTGATACCAACTCAAAAACAAAAAGCAACACATTTCTGTAGTATAAAGAGATTGAGATAAAAAGTGAAATCTTGAGTCTTGAATAACGATGTTGGAATTTAAGTCACAGCTCATTTGTAATTATACTGCTTGACAAGCAGATCATGTGTCTGGACATGGCACTCACAGTGTGTCATCTCCTCGATCTATTCTTCAGGATGAAACATAAGCATTTTATAGAACTAAACAATAAATGACGGAAGATGGATACACACATTAAGAAGCATTGCCAAGGGGAGGTTGGATGCTTTCAGTAAGGATTTTAGAACAGGAAAACAAAGACGCATAAAAAGGCTATCCTAGAGGCCAAGGTCTGCAGAAAAGGCTCAGAGTCACCAAAATGCATTAAATGATAAAAATCAGAATTTACTCAAAAGAGAAAGTTATCTAGATGCTGGGAGAGAAGTGAAGAAAACCCAAGGTTTAGAGAATGATTTTTAATAACTGAGATAATTCAAAAAAAATCTGTTATAATAGTTTTATAGAGCCAGAGACAGTTCCTAAAATAGTCGATATGTAAGAAAATAGATTTTCTCTCTCTCTGTATATATAGATTTGTTTGTTTCTATCTATTTTTTAATGAATGAGGACAGAATTTGTCACTGATGGTCACAGAGTCAATTCTCTGAACCTGATTATGATGTGATCATTTCTCTTGTAACCAACTGATGCTAATAAGACAGCCTGGCCAGGTGCAGTGGCTCACATGTGTAATCCCAGCACTTTGGGAGGCCAAGGCAGGAGGATTGCTTGAGCCTAGGACTTTGAGACCAGACTGGACAACATGTGAGACCCTGTCTCTAAAAAAAATTTTAAAAAGTAGCCAGGAGTGGTGGTGCAAGCCTGTAGTCCTAGCTACTTGGGAGGCTGAAGATGGCCTGCACCCAGGAATCTGAAGATGCAGTGAGCTGTGATTGTGCCACTGCACTCCAACCTGGGCAACACAGCAAGACCCAATCTCTAAAAATAAAAAATAAAATAAAATAAAATAACATGGTCCAACGCTAAATAAGAAATAAAAGCCATGTACAAACACACACAGGGGCCTATTGTTAGGTTCCTAATGACAAAAAGCAGACCTTGCTACGTACAAAAAATAAGAAGGACAATGTACCATAAGTATCAAAGATACATAAACATCTAGAAGGGGTTAAGATTGGCTATCATTCATTCTTTCAAAAAACACTACTAAGTGCCAGGCAAAGTGGACATAAAAATAAAAAGAAAATAGGCCTTTATAAAAAAAGAATCTTTCACTTATTTGGCATGAAAGAAGCCATCATTATTAAGAATGATGGCTTAATTTACAAGTTCAATTAGCCAGAGGTTGATCAGTGTACATATTATTTAGATCCCTTGTTATTTCTCCTACTGTCTATGGCCATTTATCAAATTCTTTTGCTAACAACTCCAGAGTATAGACAAGAGTACAAAAAAAAAAAGAGGTTAATAGTCTTGGTAAAAGACTGAACAAGGAAGAAGTCTGAAATTAATAACCACAATTTACTTTTTGTATTATACACATTTAGTTTTAAAATTCATTAATTCACCAAATATTTTATTTAGTACCTACCATATACTCTATGCCCCAGTAATTCAACAGTAAATGAGATAAGCAAGATTTCTGCCCTCATACAGCTTACTTACATTCTAAAAGAAAGAGACAAACAATAAGCTAGTAAACAAACAAAATAATTTTATTTATTTATCATTTTTTTGAGACAGGGTCTTGCTTTGTAGCCCAAGCTGGAATGCAGTGGCACGATCATAGTTCACTACAGCCTTGAACTCCTGGGTTCGAGCAATCCTCCCACCTCGGCCTCCTGAGTAGCTGGGACCACAGGCACAGGCCACTGCCCCCAGATATTTTTTAAAAATTTTTGTAGAGAGGAGGTATTGCTATGTTGTTGAGGCTGGTGTTGAACTCCTGGCCTGAAGTGCTCCTCTCACTTCGGCCTCCCAAACTGCTGGGATTACAGGCATGAGCCACCACACCCAGCCACAAAATAAATTTAGATTAATGGCAGATAATTGCTATTAAAGAAATGAAATGGTGGTATGTTAGTAACTAGGAAAGGGATATTTTAGTTTCATGACTAAAAAGGGAATGGCTGCATTATC